CCATCTCACACCAGTTAGAATGGTGATTATTAAAAACTCAGAAAACAACAGATGCTGGCAAGGCTATGGAAAAACAGAACACTTTTACACTGTTGGTGGGAGTATAAATTAGTTCAACCATTGTAGAAGACAGTGTGGTGATTCCTCAAGGATCTAGAACTAGAAATACCATTTGACCCAGCGATCCCATTACTGGATATATATCCAAAGGAGTATTAATCATTCTACTATAAAGACACCTGCACACATATGTTTACTGCATCGCTATTTACAACAGCAAAGACTTGGAACCAACCCAAACGCCCACCAATGATAGACTGGATAAAGAAAATGTGGCACATATTCACCATGGAGTACTATGCTATCACAAAAAAGAATGAGTTCATGTCCTTTGCAGGGACATGGATGAAGCCGGAAACCATCATTCTCAGGAAACTAACACAAGAACAGAAAACCAAATACCACATATTCCCACTCGTAAGGAGGAGTTGAACCGTGAGAACACACGGACACAGGGAGGGAAACATCACACACCGGGGCCTGTTGGGGGTGGGGAGGAAGGGGAGGGGGAGCATTAGGACAAATACCTAATGTATGTGGGGCTTTAAACCTAGATGGCAGGCTGGTTGGTGCAATAAACCATCGTGGCACATGTATACCTATGGAACAAATGTTCTGCACGTGTATCCCAGAACTTAAAGTAAAAATTTTAAAAAAGACAAAGTACAAGTTAATATTATACATTTAAAAAAATAGCCTCACTTCTCACTAGTAATAGATTAAATGACAGTGAGTTTTTTTTTTTTTTTACTGTAGTCCACAAGTCTATTATTTGCCCGAGAAAGCCTTTAATTTTTCCTTATTTCTGAGAAATATTTTCATGGGTTATAAAATTTTGGTTTGATGATCTGTTCTTCTCCCCACCCTCCACACTTCAAAAATGTCACTCCATAATCTTCTGGATTACATAGTTTCTGACAAGAAATCTGCTATAATCTTTCTTTTTCTGTATATATTATCATTTTCCTCCCCACTGCCTTCAGGCTTTTCTCTTTATCTTTGGTTTTCAACAGTTTGAATATGATAACTCTAGGTAATTTTGTTTTGTTTCTGTATTTATTCTAATTGGTGTTCTCTAAGCTTCTTAGATCCCTGGTAGAGTGTTAGGAGTTAACTTTAGAAAATTCTCAAGCACTCTTTCTTTAACTATTCTGTCTTTTTTCTCTCTTCTTCTGAGGCTGTAATTTATATGTATGTAGACTATTTGGTACTTCCTCATAGATTTTGCATGCTCTGTTCTGTTTTTCTTTCTTTTTACCACTCTTTTTTTCTTTTTGTGTTTCAGTTTGGGTAATGTCTACTGATCAGTCTTCATTTTCACTGATCCTTTCCTTGGCTGTACAAGTCTACTAATGGACTGCTAAAATCATTCTTCATCTCTGTTTCTGTGTATTTCATGTCTAGTATTTCTATTTGCTTCTTCCTTACTATTTAATCTTTCTACTATAATAATCCATCTGCTACTGTACATTGTCCATCTTTTCCATTAGCACTTTTAACACATAAACCATAGTTATTTTAAATTCTCAGTCTGATCATTGTATATGTCATATCTGAGTCTTACTATGTTGATTGCCCTGTATCTTGAGAGTATTTTTTCTTGTTTTTTGTATGTTACATAATTTTTTGTTGAAAGCCAGGGACATTTTATATATAATAGAAATGAAGGAAAATATCTTTTATGATTGGAAACAAACATACTTTCCCCTTTTCTAGGCCTTTGGTCTGGGGGTTTGAGTCAGTCTATTTAGGAGATGCCTTGTGGCAGACACTGTTGGTGGTCCCCTGGGCAATAATCTCTCCTCTCTTCCTTGCTAAAAACTTCAACATGTTCCAGGATGGGGTGATGATGCCTTTTGGAAAGATAGGGTCTTTTTCCAGTTTTGGAAGATGAATCAAGTTTGGTTCAAGCTAATCATGGAAATCTGATTCCCCTTTTCAGTGTTTAGATTAAAAGCAGGCATGCTACTGAGTTCACATTAATGATAAGTAGAATGAAGACTGCAGGGGGGAGTCTGATAAAGTTTCTCCCACATGATTTAAAAGAAAAAGAGGCATATGGAAGAGACCTTCACCCGCTTTCACCCTCTCTACCTTCCTGCCATGGGAGGATATGATATTTGAAGCTGTGGAAGCCAAACCGTGACCCTGAAGGAAAAACCAAAGGAACTTTTGAGAAGTTGACCCGAAGCCTTGACATGACTAAACTGCTGAACGCGCCAACCCTGGAATTACCTGTCTCTGGAGTTCATACATGAATCGTCTCTCTGGTACAAAATCAGAGTTAGGTGGTTCTAGGGTTACTGGTCCTGTTTCTTACAGGGGAAGCTCTCCTAAAGAATATCATGCTTTAAAAGCATCCATTGACAAAACGACCATAAGGCTCAGGCCTGGGCCTCTATTCACTTCCAACCGTGTTCTCGTTGCTTCGCCCCACCCTCTCTGTGCCCAGGCATCCTGACCTTTGACTTCTTCCAGTGCTCCATGACTTACACATGTGCAAGTCATCTCCACCATCTTTGCCTAATTCTCATCCATTCTTTAAGTCTCATTTGGGGCATTTTTTTTTTAGGAGGCCTCTCTGGCCAAGAGCACAGTTAAGTGGCCCTTTTATGTTCTCCCATAGCACTCAGGACTGTCCCCTACAGAGTACTTGTCACATGGAATGATTACTGTCCCTCACTAGATTGTAATCTCTGTAGGGCAGGGACCATGTCTGTCACACTCACTACAGTGTTTCTGCATGGAGCCTAGGGCTTCATAGGTACTTAGTCCACAATAAATATTTGCCACTGAATAAATGAATGAAATCTCACCTCCTGGAAAGAAAAATAAAGTATACACATAAGGGAGAAATAAACATATAAGTCAGTGTATAGGATAAGTATCAAATAATTCCCACTAAAGTTCAGGGGATTTGGATGGAGTAACTGAGGAAAGTGTTCCAGAGGAGGTGGGAGGAAGCTGGACCTTTCGGGGGTTGTACCTGAGGGAAGAGGACATTTCTGACAGGATGAACGTCAATGTGTCGGAAATGGGAACAGGCAGGAATACAACAGGAAAGCTGGATCCAAGGTTTCAAGTTAGGTGAGTGCGAGAGAGAAAGGTGAACCAGTGTGTAGAGTCTTGAAGGCCAAGATAAGGGGTTTGAGCTTCATGTGGTAAGGAAAGGAGAATCCCTGAATGATTTTGAGAGGGGCAGTGGACTACGCAGATCCCAGCTACGACAATTAAATCTGAGACTGCCCAGGATGAATGGGAGCAGGTGGGATGGAGCTGTGGTGACCAGTGAGGCAGCCACTGTGACACTCTAATGCAGGCATCCCCAAACCTTTTACACAGGGGGCCAGTTCACTGTCCCTCAGACCGTTGGAGGGCCGCCACATACTGTGCTCCTCTCACTGACCACCAATGAAAGAGGTGCCCCTTCCTGAAGTGCGGCGGGGGGCTGGATAAATGGCCTCAGGGGGCCACATGTGGCCCCTGGGCCGTAGTTTGGGGACGCCTGCTCTAATGTGTGTGCAAGGAGATGGGAGCATTTGCCTGAGTAATGATCTCTCTACCATTGTAAGCCCATGATTGTGGAATAAAAACTGTGATTAGGGCTGGGCACACACCTGCAATCCCAGCACTTTGGGAGGCCTAGGCAGGTGGATCACCTGATGTCAGGAGTTCAAGACCAGCCTGGCCAATATGGTGAAACCCCATCTCTATCAAAAAATACAAAAAAAAGTTAGCTGGGCATGGTGGCACGTACCTGTAGTCCCAGCTACTTAGGAGGCTGAGGCAGGAGAACTGCTTGAACCCGGGAGGTGGAGGTTGCAGTGAGCCGAGATTGCACCACTGCACTCCAACCTGGGCGACAAGAGTGAAACTCTGTCTCCAAAAAAACTGTGATTAGTATAAAAAGCAAATACAAAAATCATTTTCTCAAGACCAGTGAAAGTCTAGAAAAAGAAAAAAATATCAAGATAATTTGTAAAAGACGAATAGAACAAGTCAGGCAAAGATGACTTCCCACCATGACCCTACAGATAGAATATCCAGACCAGGAAAAGGAGAGAAGGTCCCCAGACAACTCCTTTGGTGACAGACAAGACTGAGCTCTCTTTAGAAGTCATCTGTTTCTGCTGAGGCTGGGAGGAGAAACTTGGTTCATTTTTGCAAATTCCAGCGTCACTCACAGTTTGTCATGTTTTCAACTGCAAGACAATTTTCCTGCTGTCACTAAAAGCAAAACTTTTCTTCAGACTACAAAGTTAAGGTCAAAACAATGCCAAAACGGGTGGGTGTTGCTTTTCTCCAGAAATACCTTTTAAAATGGGGGTGGGGGGGTGGGGGTGGGAGGAGAGATATTCAACTCAGATTATTTTTTTCATCACACAGTCCTTTAATTATGGTAACCGTTTGAACATTCCTCACACCTTTCACGTGAGGTGATCAAAAGCAATTTTATCACACTCATGGTTTTATTTATATACCGAAAATCTCTTTGGATTTCAGTAAAGAGGTGAGATTTATGATATATTTGCATCAAAGCTACCAACTCATATACCTGACAGCAAGTCATATTTTACCAAAAATTGAAGCCTTAAAATTTTACTGTCATGAGGTTTCCAGTCCCCTCATTGTGTTTTTGCATTCCTGCCAAACTTACCCAGAAAGAAGGTGCCTTGAACTCTCCTGACCCCGCTGTGTCAAACACATCTCTCCTGCACGCCATACTCGGTCTCAGTGCTTCTTGACAGTCAGGTCTGAGGTTTAAGAAATTCTCCACAGGAAAAACCCTCAAACCACAGAGCATACCTTCCTTCCCCTCACATCTGGAGCCGTATATCAAAAACTGCCCTCACAGATCAGCTGCCAACTGTTCCTGACAGCTAGGAAAGGATGTCTACCTCCAGACTAAGGAGGTGGCTCTCCCGGGTGTCTGTCCTTACCTTCTTTCTCCCAGTCTGAATCCTCATTTTCCCTTTGGGAACACCCCTCTTCCTTCTGGTGTTCAGAGTCCTTGGATGGTCTGCCCTTGATGTCCTAAGAACCCTCACAATAATTCCTCAACCAGCCTGGTCTCTGAAGCAAGGTTTAGCCACTTGCGATCTGTGCCTTCAGGGGCCAACGTGTGAACTCAAATGTCTTTATTGCTAAAGAATATATGTATTTTAAAATACTGAGGACCCGATGAGTCTGAATCTCTGGGGGGCGTCAGTTTAAATTTTAAAGCAGCCCAGGTAGTTTTAATCTGCCTCCAGGGTTCAGGCCACTGGGTGAGATGATCTCTGAAGTTCCATCATCTTTCACATTCCATGATTCTAGGGAGTGCTAATATATAACTAGGGTATACCAGCCTCCTACTCCTTTCATTGACAGACACTCTGGGAAAATGATGATGAATCCTAGAAAGGCAAGGACCTCTTTCAGTGGCTTAGCACTGGTTGTCTCGAGCTCTGTGGTGAGGTTTAAGGGAGTATCAGGCTGAATGGGAAAGAGAGCTGCAATCAACTAGCAGTGACTGCCATGAGCAGCGGGGAGAGATGGGCACTCAAGAATGTCCCCAGCTCATCCTGATCCAAAGAGGAGACCACAGGAAGAGAGCTCAGACACTAATGTAGGTCAGTACTATCCCTTGTTTCAGGTATGTCTTGCCATGTGACAAAACGTTCCAAATCATACTGGCTCAAAACCAGTTGCTCACGATGGTGAAATGTGGAAAGGGTATATGAGAGACAGGTCATCTCTTTTCCAAGCGTTGTTAAGGAGGGATCATGATTGGGACCGGAGGATCCAAGACAGCTTCACACTCCCGTGTCTGGTGCCTTGGCTAGGGAGGCTGGAATGGCAGGGGGTTGGCTGGGTCCTGCTCTCCAGCAAGGTAGTCTGACTTCCTCACATGGCGGCTCGAAGCTCTAAGAGAGTAAAAGTGGGAGCTGTCAGGCTTCCTAAAGGTCTCTTACAAGCAGAATTCTCCTGGCCAAAGCAAATCACAAGGCCAGCCAGGTTCAAGGGGAAGAGAAATATGCTCCACTTCTTAACGGAAGGCCCAATGTGCACATCCATAGAGGCGACGAATTGTTGGCAACCATCTGTGCAGACAATTTACCATGCCCTTTACTAGCCCATCAGATGGCTCCTAGAATGTGTCTACTGGCCTGAAAATCATGTTATAAAATAGGGGAAGTGCGTATGTTGGCATGCTTGATTATCCATCCCTAATTCAAATTGTTTGAATATCAGTATCCCCATATGAATATGCAATATGTGTATGCATATACATATTATATTCATAAACACACATCTTTACATCATTGCCTTAGTTAATATCTAGATATTGTCAACTGTGATCATTTGTTAGATTATTATCTTCAGCAGTGACTATTGGTAAGAGAGAATATGGTTGAAATTTAACCCTTCAACCCCTTGGAGGAATTGTACTTTCTTGTATTTCAGAAAATAATTGGAAATTAAGAATAGAAAAATTAAGAATATAATAAGTATATATAAGAATATAATTCTTAATAGAAAAATTAAGAAAATAATAGTCATTTACCTCATAGTACTCTTCCCCTAAACCCAAATTGGCAGATGGATAGTTTGCTAGGTGTCAGTTTCAGGGCATTGCGCCCAGCAATTAGGTTAAGAGCAGAAGTGGAACCAGTGGCTTAAAACCCACTTCTTCCAGGAAATTAGAAGCCCAACTCCACTGTGACCTCATCCTCACGCTGCATCTGCTTAGCTTGTCTGTCCCCTCTGGGGTCCATGTTCACTTGTCTGAGTCCTTTATTGCACCCAAACATACCATATGATCCCAGTAACCTGGGCGATCTTCTTTTCAAAAAAGTGCTCTTCGAATAGAACCCAGCTCTGACTGTGTTCTTGAAACCACGTCAAGAACAGTGTAACCAGGGCCACTACTCCAAGTGGTAATTTATTACCAATTGAGTTTCACTTGTTTTCACATTATAGTTCGACTGTTTAAAATTCCAGGACAACTTCCTTTTGTTACTTATTTAAACAAAAATAAGACCTTGAGCATTATTTTTAATTACAAGATGATTCACACAAAGCCACAGAGGTGTAGACTGTTTGTCCCTTGAAGTTTACTGGGAAAAAAATTGGCATAAATGATGTCGTAGACATGAGCATGTAGACTGTACCCAATTGTTTATCCAACAAGCATTTATTGAGCACCTAATATGTTACTGACATGGTGTTAAGCACTAAGAAGACAGAAAAATAGGACTCCCGTCTGGTTCTACTACTCTGAGTAGGGAAGGCAGATATGTGATCTATTATATTATACTGCGTATATTAAATACTCTAATTATAATAACAGAAAATAGTTACGTAGCATGTGTCATGAATCAGACATTGTTCTAAATGCTTTAACTTACACTATTCACTCTTCAGAATAACCTTATGATACAGATTCTTTTAGTATCCCCATTTTCTCAGTGAGGAAGCGGAGGCACAGAGAGACTAAAGACCTTTCCAAGGCAAACCCCTAGTAAGTGGCAGAGCTGGGACTTCAACCTACATGGTCTAGCTCTAGAGTCCATTCTCTTCACAACCACGCAGAAGAGATAGCAACTAATTTCTCCTGGGGAGTTGGAAACAGTTCTAGTAAAGATGTTCTTCAAAACCAACGAGAACAAAGACACAACGTACCAGAATCTGTGGGACACATTTAAAGCAGTGTCTAGAGGAAAATTTAGAGCAGTAAATGCCCACATGAGAAGCAAGGAAAGATCTAAAATCAACGCCCTATCATCAAAATTGAAAGAGCTAGAAGAGCAAGATCAAAAAAACAAAAGCTAGCAAAAGACAAGCAATAACTAAGATCAGAGCAGAACGGAAGGAGATAGAGACACAAAAACCCTTCCAAAAAAATCAATAAACCCAGGAGCTAGTTTTTTGAAAAAATCAACAGAATAGATAGACCACTAGCTAGATTAATAAAAAAGAAAAGAGAATCAAATAGATGCAATAAAAAATGATAAAGGGGATATCACCATAGATTCCCCAGAAATACAAACCACCATCAGAGATTACTACAAACAATTATATGTACATAAACCAGTAAACCTGGAAGAAATGGATAAATTACTGGACACTTAACACCCTCCCAAGCCTAAACCAGGAAGAAGTCAAAACCCTGAATAGACCAACACCAAGGGCTGAAGTTGAGGCAGCAATTAATAGCCTACCACCCCAAAAAAGCCCAGGTCCAGATGGGATCACAGCCAAATTCTGCCAGAGATACAAAGAGGAGCTGGTATCACTCCTTCTGCAACTATTCCAAACAATCCAAAAAGAGGGAATCCTCCCTAAATCATTTTATGAGACTAACATCATCCTGATACCAAAATCCGGCAGAGACTCAACAAAAAAAGAAAAGGCCAATATTCAGGCCAATATCCATGATGAACATAGATACAAAAATATTCAATAAAATACCGGCAAATGAATTGCAACAGCGCATCAAAAAGCTTATCCATCACGATCAAGTAGACTTCATTCTGGGGATGCAAGGCTGGTTCAACATACACAAGTCTATAAGCGTAAATTCACCACATAAACATAACCAAAGATGAAAACCACGTAAACATAACCAAAGATAAAAACCACATGATTATCTCCATAGATGCAGAGAAGGCCTCTGACAAAATTCAACAGCCCTTTATGCTAAAAACTCTCAATAAACTAGGTGTCGATGGAACATATCTCAAAATAATAAAAGCTATTTATGACAAACCCACAGCCAATATCATACTGAATGCGCAAAAACTGGAAGCATTCCCTTTGAAATCTGGCCCTAGACAAGGATGCCCTCTCTCATCACTCCTATTCAATGTAGTATTGGAAGTTCTAGCCAGAGCAATCGGCAAGAAAAAGAAATAAAGGGTATTCAATTAGGAAAGGAGTAAGTCAAATTGTCTCTATTTGCAGACAACATGATTGTATATTTAGAAGCCCCCATCGTCTTAGCCCAAAATCTCCTTAAACCGATAAGCAACTTCAGCAAAGTGTCAGGATACAAAATCAATGTGCAGGAATGCTACCATCTTAAAGGAAAGGAGGAATTCCCCCAAGAAAAGAAATTTGCAGGTGTAAGGACACACTTAAGGTTGGGGAGAATTTGAGGACTGATGAGAAATCTGGTGAGGCTGTCAAGCTGGGGTGTGATAGAGTCAGATGTGAGCAGAAAAAGCAGCCCTGGGTAATATGACTATGAAAGCCAGGGTTCCATGTCAGGCCCATTTGAGAACAGCCAGCTTTCTCACATTCCCTGATCCAAGACCTCACCCCTAATTAAGAGCCATGTTGGAATCTGGGAAAGAGAGATGGAAAATAACGGTCATCAAATCTGCATGCATACTTCCAGGTTTCAGAGTTCATTAGCACACATTCTCTTAACTCTATTTCATGTTTTACAGTTTAAAAAATAGACAAAAAGATAAATGCTACCCAGGAAGTAAGTGCGGAGCCCAGCCTCAACGCAGGTCTTTAGATTCCTTAACCAATGTCCTTTCCACTGTGACCAACACAGTCCATCTCCATCATTGCACCCCAAAAATATCCAAGTGTCCATTCGGCTAGTCCTGGGCCCAGGAGACCATTGTCACACAGATAGGGAAAGACATTTAGAACACTGAGACTCCAGAGGAGGCAAGTATACCCATGGTGTAAATGACATTGAAGTGGGAACCAGGAAACTTAAATTTCAGTCTCCTCATTATCACAAAATCAGAATGTGACCTGCAGGCCTTGGCATCCTCACCTGTAAAAAAAGAAAGAATGTTCAAGATGATTTCCAAAGGGCCTGTCTTGACCTAGCATTTTGCTTCCGTCAGTGTCTACATGTAGTATCTTCATTAGTTTAGTCAACTTCTGTTTTTAGCCATCACTGAGTGTCCAGTTCCACACAAAACAGAGCCGAGTTGACAGAATGTGCCATCAGAGCTGGAAGCTCAGGACACAGCATCAGAAATGTCTATTCTACCCAAGTTTCTCTCTTTAGCTTAAGCTAACCTCCAAGGACCCAGAATTTCCATGCCCCACTGTGGGGTCTGCTTTGTAGTGTGAAATGAGATATGTGTCTCCCTATTAATATCCTCACACTGTCTGAATGCATTTTAAAAGCTCACCCCATTCAAGCAATCTGTGGGCCTGCCTTTGTTATTGTTGGTTGGAGTCTTGCATACTTGACTTAAAAGTCAGCATTAAATGCAGCTTTATCTGATCAGGAAGGCATGAAATAGAAGGAATGGGTAAATTTTCCTTTGCAAAGCAGACACCCCTGGATGTGTTTTTCATGCTAGAGATTTGAATAAATGGCAGACGCTGGTTCTCACCAGGCAAAGTGAGTGCCAACGAGGTCACAGGGAGAGCAGTGAGCATGCAAAGATGAACAACACAGACTCCACCTACCTGACCCAAGGAAAGGGACATAGAAGACCTAGGAGGTGACCAGGGCATCTTATCTCCAGTGACAGGCAGCCAGGGTTTGGTGAGTGGTCAAGGTAAAATGGAAAGGCAGGCCTTGAATTCAGTTCTCTAACCCCTGGTCCTTCAAACGTTTCCTCCATACATGCTGCTGCAAACACTTGAAGTTCATAAAGGCAGAGAATGTTCTGCTCATTCATGAGTCCTCAGAGCCTGACACACAAATTCAAGAAATATTTGTTGAATTTCCTGAACTCTAGCTTGACTAAGGAGAGAGGCTGATCTTTATTAATTTGCTCAAATAGGAACAGAAAAAGTTAAAATCCTTACAGTGCCTGCAAGGCCATATATGAATCTGGCCTCTGTGATCTCTCTGACCTCACCTCCTTCTACTTCCCTTATTGGTCACTTCCCTCTGCCCACTCCAGCTTTCTTGTTTCTTAAACACACCAGACATGAAGATGGTTGAATAGGAACAGCTCTAGAGTGCAGTTCCCAGTGAGAACGCAGAGGGTGAGTGATCGCCACATTTCCAAATGAGTTTTTACTGCCAACAGACCAGGAGATTCCCAGGCAGAAAAGCACCATGAGTCTCCAGCATGGCTGTTTCAGCTGGCACAGTGGGTCTCCACACAAAAACTCACATGAATCTGGGGGGCCATTTCAACTGGCGCCTGTAATTCCTGGGAGACAGAGTCACCCATTCAACTGAAAAAAAGGGGGCTGAAACAGGGAGCCAGGTGATCTGGCTCAGCGGGTCCCACCCCCACAAAGACCAGCAATCTGAAATGCTCAGGATTGAGAGTTTCATGGCAAGCACAGGTGGACCCAGGATGATCCAGATCTGGGGGTTGCGGGGGTGGATGGATGTCTGCCATTACTGAGGAAGTCCACCATTACCAAGGCAGTCCACCATTACTGAGGCAGACCACCATTATCAATGCAGTTCAAACTATATCTCTATAAACAAAACCACAAGGAAGTTCACACAGCAGCTAGGGAGAGCCCACGGCAGCTCAGCAATGCCTCTGCTGGCAGACTGTGGCTAGGCTATCTCTTTGCTGGGCAGGGCATCTCTGAAAAAAGGCAGCAGCACATCAGGAACTTATAAATAAAGCCCCACCTTCCCAGAACAGAGCACCTGAGAAAAAAAGGCAGTTATGACTTCTGCCGCAGTAGACTTAAACGTACTTGCTCAGCAGCTCTGAATGGAACAACAGAGATCACAGCTCACAGCTCAGCACTTGAGCTCCTATAAGGGATAGTCTGTCTCCTTGAGCAGCTCCCCAACCCGTGTATATCCAAAGAGACACTTCATAAAGGAGAGCTCAGGCTGACATCTGGTGGGTATCCTTCTGGGACAAAGATAACAGAAGAAACTGGCAGCAACCCTTACTGTTCTGCAGCCACCACGGGTGATCCCCAGGCAAGCAGGGTCTGGAGTGGACCTCTAGCTGTCCTACAGCAGAGGGGCCTGTTAGAAGGAAAACTAAAACACAGAAAGAAATAAGTTCATCATCAACAAAAAGGACATCCACTCAGAGATCCTATCCGAAAGTCACCAACTACGAAAACCAAAGGTAGATAAATCCACAAAGATGGGAAGAAACCAGCGCAAATAAGACGAAAACACCAAAAACCAGAATGCCTCTCCTCTTCCAAGGGATCACTACCTCTGACCAGCAAGAAAACAAGGCTGGATGGAGAATGAGTCTGATGAATTGAGAGAAACAGCTTTCAGAAAATGGGCAATAACAAACTTCTCTGAGCTAAAAGAACATGTTCTAACCCAATGCAAAGAAACTAAGAACCTTGAAAAAAGGTTTGATGAAACGCTAACGAGAATAAACAGCTTAGAGAAGAATATAAATGAATTGATGGAGCTGAAAAACACAAAACCTTAGTGAAGCATACACAAGCTTTAATAGCCAAATTAACCAAGCAGAAAAAATGATATCAGAGATTGAGATCAACTCAATGAAATAAAATGAGAAGGCAAGATTAGAGAAAAAAGAGTAAAAAAAAAGGAACAAAGCCTCCAAAAAATATGGGATTATGTGAAAAGACCTAATCTACATTTGATAGGTGTACCTGAATGTGATGGAGAGAATGAATCCAAGCTGGAAAACACTCTTCAGAATATTATCCAGGAGAACTTCCCCAACCTAGCAAGGCAGGCCAATCTTCAAGGCCAGGAAATACAGAGAACACCACACAGATATTCCTCAAGAAGAGCAACCACAAGGCACATAATCATCAGATTCACCAGGGTTGAAATGAAGGAAAAAATGCTAAGGGCAGCCAGAGAGAAAGGTCAGGTTACCCACAAAGGGAAGCCTATTAGACTTACAGCAGATCTCTCAGCAGAAACCCTACAAGCCAGGAGAAAGTGGGGGCCAATATTCAACATCCTTAAAGAAAAGAACTTTCAACCTAGAATTTAATATCCAGCCAAACTAAGCTTCATAAGTGAAGGAGAAATAAATAAAATCCTTTAAGAACAAGCAATTGCTCAGGGATTTCATCACCACCTGGTGATGAAAGAAGAGCTAATGAAAGAAGCACTTACAAGAGCTAATGAAAGAAGAGCTAATGAAAGAAGCACTAAACACAGAAAGGAACAACCAGTACCAGTCACTCCAAAAACATACCAAATGGTAAAGAGCATCGACACAATGAAGAAACTGCATCAACTAATGGGCAAAACTACCAGCTAGCATCTAAATGGCAGGATCAAATTCGCACATAACAATATTAACCTTAAATGTAAATGGGCTAAATGCCCCAATCAAAAGACACAGACTGGCAAAATGGATAAAAAGTCAAAACCCATTGGTGTGCTGTATCTGGGAAACCCATCTCACATGCAAGGATACACATAGGCTCAAAATAAAGGGATGGAGGAAGAGACAAAGAAGGGTATTATGTAATGGTAAAAGGATCAATGCAACAAGAAGAGCTAATGATCCTAAATATATATGCACCCAATACAGGAGCACCCAGATACATAAAGCAAATTCTTAATGACCTACAAAGAGACTTAGATTCTCACACAATAACAATGGGAGACTTTAACACTCCAATGTCAATATTAGACAGATCAATGGGACAGAAAATTCACAAGGATATCTAGGAATTGAACTCAGATCTGGACCAAGCAAACCTAATAGACATTTACAGAACTCTCCACCCCAAATCCACAGAATATACATTCTTCTCAGCACCACATCACACCTACTCTAAAATTGACCACATAATTGAAAGTAAATCACTCCTCAGCAAATGCAAAAGAATGGAAATCATAACAAACAGTCTCTCAGACCACAGTGCAATCAAATCGGAACTCAGGATTAAGAAATTAACTGAGAACCACACAACTTCATGGAAACTGAACAACTGGCTCTTGAGTGTTGACTGGATAAACAATGAAATGAAGGCAGAAATAAAGATGTTCTTTGAAATCAATGAGAATGAAGACACAATGTACCAGAATCTCTGGGACACAAATAAAGCAGTGTCTACAGGAAAATTTATAGCAATAAATGCCCACATGAAAGATCTAAAATCAACACCCTATCATCAAAATTGAAAGAGCAAGAGGAGCAAGACCAAAAAAACTCAAAAGCCAGCAGAAGACAAGAAATAACTAAGATGAGGGCAAAATTGAAAGAGAGGGAGAGAAAAAAATCCTTCAAAAAAATCAATAAATCCAGGAGCTAGTTTTTTGAAAGGATCAATAAAATAGACAGACCACTAGCCAGATTAATAAAAAAGAAAAGAGAGAAGAATCAAATAGATGCAATAAAAAACAATAAAGGGGATATCATCACAGAGTCCACAGAAATACAAACCACCACCAGAGATTACTATGAACAACTCTATGGACATAAAGCAGTAAACCTGGAAGAAATGGATAAATTCTTGGACACTTGCAACCTCCCAAGCCTAAACCAGGAAGAAGTCAAAACCCTGAATAGACCAATAACAAGGGCTGAAGTTGAGGCACCAATTAATAGCTTACCAACCAAAAAAAGCCCAGGTCCAGATGGGTTCACAGCCAAATTCTGCCAGACATACAAGGAGGAGCTGGTACCACTCCTTCTGAAACTATTCCAAACAATCCAAAAACAGAAAAACCTTCCCAAATCATTTTATGAGACAAACATCATCCTGATACCAAAACCCAGCAGAAGCTACACAAGAAAAGAAAACTTCAGACCAATATCCATATTGAATATAGATGCAAAAATCTTCAGTAAAATACTGGCAAATGAATTACAACAGTGCATCAAAAAGCTTATCCATCACAATCAAGTAGGCTTCATCCTGGGGATGCAAGGCTGGTTCAACATACACAAGTCTATAAACATAATTCACCACATAAACAGAACCAAAGATAAAAACCACATGATTATCTCCATAGATGCAGAGAAGGCCTCTGACAAAATTCAACAGCCCTTTATGCTAAAAACTCTCAATAAACTAGGTGTCAATGGAATGTTATCTCAAAATAATAAAAGCTATTTACGACAAACCCACAGCCAATATCATACTGAATGAGCAAAAACTGGAAGCATTCCCTTTGAAATCTGGCCCAAGACAAGGATG